ATAGGTGTTACGTACTTGAACGGCCGTTCAAGAACGCGCATCGATCAGAGGTATTTTATTGCTGTAAAAAATCGTTTGTCGTATAACCTGATGTGATAATACGATACCGTCCCGCTAATCGCTAGGTATCAAAAAGTATCTTCGGTCATTTTTTAAATGTAATCTTGCGTCAATTATTTTTTATTGTTTTAATTGACAGTAGGGTGACTGAAGCTTTGCCTGCCAGTACATAGGCTCGGTTGATTCATAAAACTACAGAAAATACAAAACTAAAGGAAATGACTCTCAAACAATAACAATTCTTTAAATGATTGTAAGAACTGGCCTTCGTTTAAATGTCAACATGTACAGAGGTATTCATAATTCGATTTTATGAAGTTACCCTACATCATTAGTTATTTACGAGATTCCGATCAGTACACGGATGAGGTAATAAAGGTGAAGTTAATGAATGTTTATTACTTTCGCATCTGCACAACCCGAAATCTCATTTGCATTTTGCTATAAAACATTAATTGGGGAATAAAACCTCTTTGCTTCTTTCCGCTTTATTTAATACTCCGATGGTAATGATTATAGTTAATATGTGTGTACTCTCAAATAGTTTTAATTACTAAAAGATATTTAAACTTTTCCCTCTTCCAAATAAGGACTCTCTCTACATGTTGGTCCACGTTTTTAGGTATTCTTTTTATTGAAATAAAGTTATGTGTCGTTCTTCAAATTTCGTTTTCATTACATTGTAGCAGGATATAAAGTTACTAAAAACTTTAATGAATATGAACGCTGTTAACTTTTATAAGAACATTTTTTTCCACATATCATTGTAAAACTATCATAACGTAAACAGGATCATTCGAATGCCGTATTTTTTTATCTTTAGCGGTACTTTAAATTACGAAGCTTCATTTTTTAAAACGTCCGACTAAAACGTGCTCATTTCAAACGTAATCGATGTACGATCATACGAACGTATAACGAAAATAAAACAAGTCGAGCAAAGGCGAGGCCTTGAACAACCCCTGGCAGCAGGTGACGCTCTACTGCACCTGCTAACTATATGCAGTGACCTATAAAAATAATAATTAAACATTTTATACCTCAATTATACCTTAGATGTGGGTCAAACAAAAACTTTGAATGTTGTACATTTTTTTTGAATTTCGCAAGTTACGCAGCTTTGCATCCCTCATGCTTATTATTCTTTTGACGATTATTTATATCGAAATATTTAAAATTTAAAACACCTTTGCTATAACATCCAACATTGTAACTAATTACGGTAGAAGTTTATACGATGTTGAAGTATGTTTGCGTACCTATAGAAATAAAGTGTGCACCTAATGATACCTGCATTTAGATTTATGAATCTATAGGAAAAGTCTTTAAAAACTGCGACAAAGCGCTACGTGCTATGCATATTGACAAGTGCATTGCAAGTCTCCGGTGTATAAATTGTTCTATTAAAAATCGTACGGTAATGAGTCACTGAACAATATGACAGCCGCGTCTGCCCCTGTCGGAATAACAATCCGCCATAGCACGAATATGGCTAGACGTTGGCTCATCTGTAAATCATTGTAAGTCTATAATGACGCGTGAGAGTGTACGGAACCATCGGCTATTATGTGCAAACGAAGTTACGTGTATTTTGTACGTTTGTATACATATATTTTTTTACGTATTCGTCTTCGCATCCGCTCGACGAAAGGAAATGGGGATCCATGTAAAGTTTTGCAACTGACGCTGTTTTACGCGTGTAATATTTCTTTGTTCTTGTTGCAATGATTGCGTACAATTTTGTTATTTGTATAACTTGACTGTTGATATTTTGAACAAAAACAAATCAATCTTTCAATTCAGTTTTTACGTCGAAATGGTTAAATCCTCTTTCAATGTGTCCCCTCCTCCGTCGATTAAAGTTTGTAATGTTGGTAACATGGGCGTCTCCAAGGGAGAGTGGTAGGGGGAGTAGATGACCTCCCCCCCACCCCTAGTGAATCGAAAAATGTAAAATATTAAATTGAATTTCAAAACTACAAAATCCACATTAGTGGTAGTGGCATATCCCTTTAGCTTTTTTGGCGAATTTGGTTTGTTGTTTGTCATTTTGTAATATAAAAAATCGTAATAAACAAATTGCAATATAAGTGGTCACTGAGAACCATGTTATTGCACAAGCACCAAGTTAATCTTATAAGTTCAGTATAGGTAAATATTCCAATAAGACTTCTTACCTTATAACTTCTAGATGTTAGGAAATAGGAAACTTATAGTCGAAGCGTAAAATCTTTTATGAGTTATATTTTACTATGCATATTCAATGGGTATTCGGAGGTCACACAGATGTACAGACAAAAGATTTGTAATAACAGTCGATCCTCGTTCCAGTCCGCTCGCTGTTCCCTTACAAACTCACCAACATTGAACAAAGAATATTTTGCTGTTTATTATTTGGTAATAAAGCTTTTAATCGCCGATTAAGTACTTTTGAAATGGTATTATAAATTGGTCAGTGTCGGACTCGATACACGTGTACGACTCCCCTATACATTAAAATGCACCTATCACCTGGCCAGTAGAAATAAAATTGGGTCACACATTGCGCGGGTTTCTTTATTCCCTCCCAGCACTCGGGCCCTCCAGCCTTGAACCGGTTTGTAAGGAGCAGGCCGTGTTGTGGCCCATTGTGGTACGTCCACCCTACCAGTGTACACACGTGCGAGATCTGGTTGCCTGTGAATGGTACAGGAATGCAAGGTTTTATTTTTATACAATACTGAATGTTAAAAGAGCTGGGAATGAATTTTTCGGGTGTGATTGTTCAGTTGTGGGTTATTAAATTGTCCCTTTTAATGCTTCATAGATTAACAATACTAAGGACTACAATTGACATTTTAATGATTTCATAACCTCTTGATCTTTGAGTAGATGAGAACTTTTATTTTGGTTAAAGTCTTAACGACTGTATACAAATAACTTTGTTACTTGTAAATGTTAATTTAGGTTCTTTTAAGGTTTGTTTTGATTTACATTAATTAACTAGCTGTTGCTTACGGCTTCGCCTGAACGAATTAAAATAAAACACTGCCTATGTTACTCACTGATTAGCTTTTTAATGGTGAAATAATTTTTGACATCTGCCAAGTAGTTTTAGCGTGAATCAAATACATACAAAAATACAAATCTTCCCTTTTTATAATATCAGTATAGATTAGTAAGATAATACGTAGATTTCTCGTGTTTTATTATTTACTTACCCACAGACTCATAAATTACATCGTAGATATTTAATTTTTCTAATTGTAAGCGAAACATTGGGTTTTTCATGAGAATAAATCTTTAAAACAAACCTTACAATATCAAAGATAATAAGCGATTCCTATATTATCATTATTCGTATTATTCTTCAGATATTGAGTTCGTATCAAAATACGTTTTATTAAAAAAGCGATAAAAAAATAACCGGTTTTAGCGACAGTAAACAAACACGCAAAAAGAGCTTTGGCAACGATTACGTAATAGCTTTTTAAATCACCTGATTTAATTTCGTCGGTGAATATGCATCTCTAAAAACTTGTTTAGCACGACGTCGCATAAATAAGGCGGCTTGTTTTTTATTTAAGCGATTTACATAATTATTACACTAAGACAGAAGTGGCGCGTAGTTTTGACAGGTGGTACATGTTACGATATGTAATAATAGCTGTAATGTAAAGCTAATTAATAGCTACCATGTACCTGTTAATTAGTGACAAAAATAATAGCCCCTCGCGTCTTTTATTTATGACGTAAGTAGAGAAATTATTTTATCCAAATATAGGAAGGTATATTAATAACGATTCACAAAAGTTTATATTTGTTCCGGTTGTTAATCGAACTTGGACCTTTTTATGTTATGTACGTGTTTTACTTGAACACGCACTAAATTGCACTTAATCAACTCCCTCTTTATTCTAATTATGCGTAATTTCCGGTATGTATAGACATGAAGCGTTATTTTTTTTTTGTTTATATTCTTTAGTGTAATAAAAAGTACCCTGTTTTAATAAATGAGTAGATACAAAATAAAATGAGTGTGCTTAAATGAATCGAGCTTCCTTTTGCACCGACCGTGTCGCGGAGGTGGC